TGTATCAATTGTTACACAAGATATAGGACCTGAGCTGGTCCACGGAAAATAGAAAGGATTTAGGTAGGCAAAGGGAGAGGGGAGCAATCCAAAAGAAAGGAGGGGTGTGATGCAAAAGGACCCAGGTGTCTGAGATGATCCTGAGCTTTGAAATGCCCCCATCCTCCCAGCCCCAATAAAAGAAACTCCTACACCCTTGCTTATTCACAACTACATTCTGGACCTTTTTCCATATTCTTGTCTCGTTGCACTAGGTTAGGAGACCTATTACTGATCTCTTAATTTCTGGCCACATTTCCTGTCTACACATCCCTAAACTCTACCCTAGGACCCAAGGTATAATATATTGTCCCTCTGGTTTTACCCCTTGACTTCCTTTCCTTGATAATAATTTGAACTTGATGTCTTTTTCTGGTCCTTCCAGATGACTGTTCAGCCTGATCCCATGGGGCTATTAGAGCTAAGGTTCTTGCCAAGTCCTTGGTCCCTAGAGAGGGGATGGAAAAAGACACGAAAAATACAAGATCTTTGTAAATTAATTTGACTGAGGCAGTATTTGGGAAGGTGAGTGGTTTAAAACTTTGGCAAAATTACCGAGTTCTTTCCACGTTGCCTGTCTTATAAAACACTTTGTGTTAGCCAAACTATATTAGTTGTGAAGTCCCATGGCCTACCAAAGGCTAAGTGACAGACTGAAACTTTGGGTCTGAGGTTATGTTGTCACTGAACTATGGTAGCCAAAGTCATCCCCTCCAGATTGGGAAGGGCTTTGTCTTGTCTTTTTTTTTTTTTTTTTTTTTTTTTTTTTTTTTTTTTTTGCGGTACACGGGCCTCTCACTGCTGCGGCCTCTCCCGTTGCGGAGCACAGGCTCCGGACGCGCAGGCCCAGCGGCCATGGCTCACGGGCCCAGCCGCTCCGCGGCACGTGGGATCTTCCCGGACTGGGGCACGAACCCGTGTGCCCTGCATCGGCAGGCGGACTCTCAACCACTGCGCCACCAGGGAAGCCCTCTCCTGTCTTCTTAAAGGAGAGTGTAGAAGTATTTATGGCCATAGTCATGGTTCTTACAACAAACTCAATTATAAGCCATCATTATAAAAGTGATTTAGCAATACTTTCCGTGTGACTTGGTCAAACAACAAATGCGTATAGATCTCCTACTCTGAGCAAATCATCCCAGTGGGCTTATTTGGTTTAAATTCACTATATATAACTCAATTTTGTTGAGATTGTGCAATATATTGTTTGATTTTATTATTATTACTATCATTATTTGGCTTATTATTGTTCCTGGTAAAGGAGTTGAAAAATAGTAAGCAAAAGCAAATGACAGTCGCTTATCTCTAAGGACTCATCCCCTTCATCCATCCCTGAGTACCAAGCCGTTCCTTCTGTGAAGGAAGACAGGTGTTTAGGGAAAGGTGTATTTTCATTTATTTTGAAAAATAAATGTAATCATTTTATTCGCATGGGCTGATGACCCTCAGATTTGTATTCCCAGTTCAAATCAGACACTGAACACCAACCACGTTCTCTATACCTCTACCTAGATATCACGAAAGCACCTCAACTCACTAGATCCATTTTGATTTCTCCCACAAACTACGAAGTGCTGTAAATTAGCACCGATTGTGCAAAGCAGACGCAAAGGAGCCACATCTTTGACACCCACACCTTTACCTCTGCATTCATTGTTTCAACATCACCTTCTAAACAACTTTCATAACCCTCTTTTCCTTTTCAACATCGTCTTGGTTTAAGCTCCCATCACTCTAGCACATGGACTACTACAATGGCCCCCCAAGTTGATCTCCCTGTGTTAACTCTTACCTCTTTCCAATCTGTTCTCCTCACTGCAGCCAAACTCATTTTTTTTAAACACAATATGATTATATCACTCTTCTTAAACGTTTTCAATGGTTTTCTATTACCTTTAAGGTTCAAAGAAGTTAGATCTTTGGCATTTTCACATGGTCCTGCCTGATTCCCCAACCTGGTCTTATGTCTATTTTTTTTTTTTCAGTTTTATTGAGGTATGATTGACAAACAAAAATTGTATATATTTAGGTTATACAATATGATTTTTTAAGGTATATAATGTGTGAAGTGATTATGATAGTCAAGTTAATTAACTCACTTATCACCTCACATAGCTACCTTTTGTGGTGTGTGTGCGCGTGTGTGTGTGTGTGTGTGTGTGTGTGTGTGTGTGTGTGTAATGAGGACACTTAAGATCTTGTGCCTTTAAAAACACAAAGCCTGGGCTTCCCCGGTGGCGCAGTGGTTGAGAGTCTGCCTGCCGGTGCAGGGGACACGGGTTCGTGCCCCGGTCCGGGAAGACCCCACATGCCACAGAGCGGCTGGGCCCGTGAGCCATGGCCGCTGAGCCTGTGCGCCCGGAGCCTGTGCTCCATAACGATGGGAGAGGCCACAACAGTGAGAGGCCCGCGTACCGCAAAAAAACAAAACAAAACACAAAGCCTAATTCCACCTTACAACTTATATAGCTATTGTTCCTTGAGCCTGTAAGACTCTTTCTCTTCCTGTTCTTACTACCCCCTTTATACATTTAACTCTTTTTATACCTCAAATTTCAGATCAAATATTCTTCTTCAAGAAATTTTTTCCTAACCCTCTAAACTAAGTCTGGATCCTCTGTCATGTACTTTCTCAACTCACTGTACTTTTCCTTCATAATATATATATATATATTTTTTTTTTAAATGTGTCTCTCTCTGAGAAAACACATATTATTAGACTTCTTTTTAAAAAATTTATTTTAATAGTCTGTATGTTAATTGGTGAGTTTGGCCCATTTACATCAACTAGAATTACCACCTTATTAAGACTATTTTCTACAGCACAAAGCTTTTTACATAACTAAGACTTTCTCACAGTATTTATAAGTATTTGTTTATATATTATTCTCTTTATAGACTATAATTTTCTTGAGGACAGATATGAATTCCAATTAATACAGTATCTGCACAGAAAGGCAAATATCATATGATACCACTTATGTGTGGAATCTAAAAAAAGGGTACAAATGAACTTATTTACAAAACAGAAGCAGAGTCATGGATGTAGAAAACAAGCTTATGGTTATGAGGGGATAAGTGGGTGAAGGATAAACTGGGAGATTGGGACTGACATATACACACTACTATCATGTGTAAAATAGGTAACTAATAAGAACCTGCTGTATAGGACGCTGTACTCAATACTCTGTAATGGCCTATATGGGAAAAGAATCTAAACAAACAAAAAAAAAGAGTGGATATATGTATAACTGATTCACTTTGCTCTACACCTGAAACTAACACAATATTGTAAATCAACTATACTCCAATAAAAATTTTTTTAAAAAGTTAACAAGAGAAAATCAAAAACAAAAAAAACAGTATCTGGAATAAAGTAAATAGTAGTTTAAAAGTCTTGTAGAAATCAATTTTCACTGCAAAGTAAAGGAACTGTTACAGTGGAGGATTACTGGACTGAATGTCAATATTTTGACGTAGTATGAGTGTGTTTCGTGTTTGGTAATTGCAATCATTGTTGCTTTTCTTGTGGTCATCCATTTACAATGCTTGGTGTCAGTTTATTTATCTCTTGTAAAAATAAAATACAGTGTGTGTGTGTGAAAAAAAAAGTCTTGTAGAAAAATTAGCAAATGAGTGAATTATCATTATTGTGCTTAGAAACTGCCTTGTCAGTAATATGTTAACTTGTTTTTATAAATTCTATCTAGCAAATAATTATTAAGTGCTTACTATTTGCCAAGCAATGCATCATGTGTTATATTAGAATACAGATATTATGTATGTTAGAATACATAATCTTCACTCTTTAGATATTTATAATCTAATATAAATGATATATAATCCAATACAAATTATATCTACACTCACATATAAACATGCACACAGAGAACTGTTTGAAGTCAGGTAAAACCCAAGGCATCCAAGCCATAATATCTTTTTGGACAAGTCAGTTGACAGTTCCAAGCGTCCCCATAAGAACTTTGTAAAGATAAACTATATTCTCTTTATCAAGATAATATTTTAGACTATGTTTTGTATTTACATGCAGTTATGGATTTTTATTATAGACTTGCTCAGTTGTTTGCATACTTTTTATCCTAATCCTCTTTGAAGTGTACTAAGAATTGCTTCTTTTGTATGCATATATTCTATTTTTTTAATCAATTTTTGTGCATGTCACTAGTGGGAATTTTTTCTTTAAAGTATCATTTAAGTCCTAGATTAGATAGTTTAAATAATAAGTTATATGCCAGGGCCTGTATAAATTTATTTACATATTCACTGAAATGTTCCAGTATCTTTTCCTTTCTTGAGCTTTTTTTTTTTCAGAACATTCAAAATACCTGAGGGTTCTTTAACTGCCCTCCTTTGAATAATTAATTCTAATCTTACACCATATGGAAATCAACCCTACAAGCCAGGTTTGCCAAATCTCTTCATGGCAGTCCATGTGGTTGCTTTCTTTTTGTGCAACAGAAAGACACGCTGGCACGAGGAGCAGTGAGTCCGTTTTTTTACTTCTCCTTGAGCACACACAGGAAAAATCTCAGCCAGAGGAACTGTGCCTGGCCCTCGAAGGGGTGAGTTTAGGTACAAAGCACGATATGAAGACCAAATGTAAGGCTGAGAAGTCCAAGTTAAAGTTGCCAACTGACCTCCAATTGTTGCAGGAACATTTTTACTTTTGCACCATTGTCCATTTGATTTATTCCTGGCACCAACATATTAAGTATTTAAGCCCTGCTCTTCTCAAGAGTCCATGGTATAGAGAACAGCCAATATCGGTATTCGAGTTCTTTCTCGTTCCCAAGAATCTTTGGCTTCAAAATGTGTATCCCCGCAAATCCTCCAGCTCTGGCTGCTGACCTTGTGAGAAAGTTCATATGTCATCTGAAGATGGAAAGAAAGTACTGAAATTCATTCCAAGAAATACAGCACAACTTCTGGGAAAAGCGAAAATGGCACAAAATTTTTTCCTTTCAGCTATTCAGCAAATGTTCAGTGAGCGTAAAAAAATATTGCACGTAGAGAGAGAGGAGATAGCCTTAGTCTCTCTTTTTTGTGAATGAACTTTTTGTACATTACTTCTAGATAAGACATTTTTCTTTTTCTAACAAAAATTGTGCTTTGTTTTAAGATAGTTGCCATAGATGAGAGGCTTGTTTTGGTGAACCAGAAAAAAAGCAAAGACAAGAAAGAAATGAAACTGGTTAATAAATATTATTCATTTTTTAACTTAATGAAAAAAGTAGTTAATTTAATTATTTAATTAAAGATGGCCTTTTGGCCATCTTCCTATATTCCTGTTTTCTGTCCATTGAAATTCTTTTTTTATATATAAATTGATTGATTGATTGCTATATTTATTTATTTATTTATTTTTGGCTGCATTGAGTCTTCGTTGCTGCACATGGGCTTTCTCTAGTTGTGAGTGGGGGCTACTCTTTGTTGTGGTGTGCGGGCTTCTCATTGCGGTGGCTTCTCTTGTTGCAGAGCACAGGCTCAAAGCATGTGAGATTCAGTAGTTGTGGCCCAGGGGCTCATTTGTTGTGGCTCACAGGTTCTAGGGTACAGGCTCAGTAGTTGTGGCGCACAGGCTTAGTTGCTCTGCAGCATGCGGCATCTTCCCAGACCAGGCTCAAACCCATGTCCCCTGCTTTGGCAGGCGGATTCTCAACCACTGAGCCACCAGGGTAGCCCCACTGAAATTCTTATATCTGTAATCTACAAACGTTTGGTGCTGTACATGGAGTCAGTTTCTTTCTATGACCTCAACTTGTATATACAGTTTCACTCCAGCAGATCTATGTGTAAAAATCTACACGGAAAGGAAAACCCGCAAGGGGAAAATTTACATCCCACACACAGTAAGGGAACATTTCTTGTTTTACTCTTCCAGAGGAATTCTTGCTATTCAAGTGATTTTCTTTGAAGAGAAAGGACAGTTTTTCCTGTATTTACACTATAATTTGATTTTACAATGTTATCATCTGAAAATTTTTCGGGAACATTGCTATTTCACAAAGTGGATAATCAGCTAATTTAATAGTTGGATTACCATATAAGCCAAAGGTAGAAAAAATACGAGTGAAATAGTATTTTTCCCTTTGAGCATACTTATAATTATTTTGTGTTTCAGATTATAGCAATTTCCTATCTTTGCAAGGAATTAAATTTATCCTTCAACTAAACAGCAGAGATATATTTAGTGTGTGTTATGATAGACTGCGGAAGTGGATTGTTGAGGGTAACTTCACTGAGCTCTTACAGTTTTCAAGCACTGAACAAGGTTTGCAGGTAAGACAATGTATATGGGGCTAGGGCTACAAAGATGAATAGAATACAAGCCCTGACTTCCCTTTGAGGAGCTTAAAATTCATTGTCATGTAAACAGACAATTTCAGTATTTTGCAGTGAAACCGGGTGTGACTTATGAAAGGGTGTCCTAGGGTTACTATGAGGGCACATCAGGCATTTAACTCAATATGTGAATTCAACAAGAGAGTCTTTTCCTTCTTTCAGCAAGAAAGAATCCAGTCTTTCCAGAGATGACAGTTTCCTAGATAGTCAGTTGGACCCTGGTGGATAAATGTGCCTGGGATGGGAAGGGGAAGAGACCTGTGGTTGTACCATCAATAGTTGGGGAAAGGGTGTGTGGCACATACGGAGAACAGAAATGCCTGTAATTCAGAGAGGAAGAAGGTGTGTGCTACTAAAGAATTAAAACAGAATATGCTAAGGGAGTGTTTAAGGAAGGAGAGATAACCTAGTTGGGAAGCTTACTTATGTAATACATAGTGAAGCAGGTGGTATTTGAGATAAGCCTTAAAAGATGCCCAAGGTTGCAATAGACAGAGACAGGAATGCAGAAAAAGAGATTATGCGATTAAATGAGCAAAGATGTGATGACAAACACTGAAGGACATCTTAGAACAAGTTGTTCAGTTTGGCTAGAGAACTGGTTACATTCAGAGGAAAAGTGAAAGAAAAGAATGGGACAGACAGCTGGGAATATAAGGAAGGGAACTAACATTTAATGAGCAACTACTATATTACAGACACTTACTGGGTAGTTTACAAGGATTATCTCATTAAATCTTTACAACACTTTATGTAACAATTGTCATCCTTCACATGCTGCGTACAGTGAGGAAATGACTTATCCAGGGTCACATCACTAATTAGCAAGAATAATAATAAGAACTACTTTCATGGAACATTTACCATATGCCAACACTGTGCCTGCTAGATGCTCACATGCCTTATCTTATTTAATCCTCACTACAACTTTATAAACTACTTTCCATCAGCATCCCCATTTTTTTCAGATAAAGAACATGAGAATCAGAAAAATGGCAGAGATCAGTAAGTTACACAGCAGAATTCAAATTCAGTCCTGCTGACTACAAAACGCATGCTCTTTTCTACTATCTACTATGTCACCAGAGAACTGAGGATATAAGAGGGATAGGATACTGACTCAATTCAAGCACCGGGCAGCTGTTGTATGTTAGAAAGATGAATAAGATCCAGTGGCTAAGGTCATGGAAGCAACCTAAATGCCCATCGATAGACGAATGGATAAAGAAGATGTGGTACATATATACAATGGAATATTACTCAGACATGAAAAGGAACGAAATTGGGTCATTTGTAGAGATGTGGATGGACCTAGAGACTGTCATACAGAGCGAAGTCAGTCAGAAAGAGAAAAACAAATATCATATATTAACACATACATGTGACATCTAGAAAAATGGTATAGATGGACTGGTTTGCAAGGCAGAAATAGAGACACAGATGTAGAGAACAAATGTATGGACACCAAGGAGGGAAAGTTGGTGGGGGTGGGGGATGATTTGGGAGACTGGGATTGACATATATACACTAATATGTATAAAATAGATAACTAATAAGAACCTGCTGTATAAAAAATAAACTAAAAAAAATTAAAAGATCCAGAGGGTAACCTCAAAAACCTCGCAGTCTGGTGGGAGAGCAAGTGTTCACGCCAGGCTCTTCTCCTTACTCATCCCGGTCCCCACCCCATATCCACTTCTCCTGCCCTTCTGTTGCTCTCTCAAAACAAAACAAAACCAAAAATTACACCTTGTTCCCTTTAGTTTCTCTTCCCTTCCTTTTGATCCCACTCTTACTTGCACTCATTTATCTCCTACCAAAAGCCAGAGAAAGCACTCCAATGAAAAATCCCCTCATCCCCTCAACAAAATAAAAATCTCTTTTAAAATTTCATCGTGGCAGGAAAGAAATAATGTAAGATTACAAGAAAGACAGGAAACAGGGAGAATGATAAATTGGAAGAACCAGAGTCAGGGATGATGCCACCAAGATTCAGACAAGCACTGGTTACAGGACTGTTTAAGTGAACAGCAGTGGGCAGGCTAAATTACATTTCCACAGGTCATCCCAACCCACATTTCACTGCAGCATTTTCCATCACAATTCTAACAGGGAGGAGTCAGATGTGGAAACAATCTCTTATTTCACAGCCTGTTCACTTCTTACCTTGACCAGCAGACGTGTTCTGCACTATACTCCCCCTACTACTAACCTGGAAGTTTTTCCTTTCTGTCCTCTTCCAACATTTTCTGAATTTCATCCTATTTCCAGGGTTTGCAGTGACGAGATGATGAAACAAATGAGAGGAACTGTAGAGTTTCAGATCTCTGCCATGAGATTTTTCTCCACTGACCAAACCCCGGCTAAAAAGATTGCTTTTTTTTTGTCCCAAGGATTTCAAAGCATATTAATGTCCAACTTGAATGAATGAAGTTATTTGACAGCACTGGGAAATGACAGCAGAGAGGGCCAGCTGGGAGGTGGTGATTTGAGTGAAATTTTTGCAAGGCATCTTGCTAGTGGTTTTCAAGCTCAGGGGTGGACACCCAAACACCAGTCAGCCCTGGAAGAACCACTTTCAAAATAGCATTAAGAACACAGTGTTCCTTCAAACCATGGATTATGTAATTATTTCTCTATCTTGTTTATCTATTCCAAGGATAAAATAATCTAGAAGCACACAATTATAGCAGTCTATTTCAACACATGTTTAGAAAGAGAATTAAACGATGTTTTCAAAAGCCACATAGGCATTGCGTGGCAGTGTCAGAACTAAATTGAGCTCTTTCAGCTTCCAGTTTAGTTCCCATTGGACGAGACCTTTGCTGATTCAATCACTCCCACTTTTTGTCTACTCTCCTCTGCTTTGGTCATTCTTAACAATCTATTCCTTGACTATTGGGGGGAAACCAAAATAACACTGAACCAATGGAGTTAAACCTATCTTTTGGGAAATAACATTGTGTGTGTGTGTGTGTGTGTACTCCATGACATTACATGCCAGTGATTAATGGAGGTGCTCTACATGTGTTGTCCTATTTAATCCATCCAACGGTCCTGTGAGTCAAGTTTTATAATCCCTAACTGTGTCACTGAGAAATATGAGGCTCAGGAAATTAAGTAACTTGTTGAATGTCGCACAGTAACATTCCATTGCATATATATACCACATTCTCTTCATCCAGTCATCTTTTGATAGACATTTAGGTCGTTTCCAAAAGTCACATCCCTCAGCTGGAAGAGGTACTTACCTTCCATGGGACCCTTCTTCAGAATCCAGTCTAGCTTATATGATGATTGTTTGTCTGAGGAACTATCAGAAGTATGGAGGGAAAACCAAGATGGAATAAAGACGGGATTGTCACTCCTTCCAATTTTTTGTTTGTTTGTTTTGTTTGAGAAAACAATAAAAAAAACAGGTGAAAAAGATACCGGCTGGAGTACAGAAGTTTGGTAGATTTGAGTTATTCAATAGTTACTCAGCTATTGAGCAGGCTTTCTTCTGCTCAATCTACTGCCTAAAGTTAAAATCACTTTAAGAATAATTTAAATTTCCACATAAATGGAATACCTTTGGATTAGACAGAGGTCAATCCAGATATCTACCTCTGACTGAGGGAGGTCAAAGAGGAACATGTTTTCATTCCTCATGTCAACTTTAAAAGTGGCTATTTTTTTTATTATTATTATTATTTTGTGTGTGTGTGTGTGTGTGTGTGTGTGTGTGTGTTACACGGGCCTTTCACTGCTGTGGCCTTTCCCATTGCAGAGCACAGGCTCCGGACACGCAGGCCCAGTGGCCATGGCTCACGGACCCAGCCGCTCCGTGGCATGTGGGATCTTCCCGGGCCGAGGCACGAACCCGCGTCCCCCGCATCATTAGGCGGACTCTCAACCACTGCGCCACCAGGGAAACCTGTGGCTAACTATTTTTAACTTATATTAATAACTAATGATATCATTATTGTGTTTATTTCAATTTTTCTTGAATCATTTGCTATTTAAAGCTATTGTTCTATCTTCCCTAAAACTACTTTCTATAAATTAAAGCTGTGCTCTCAAGTTCTTGTGTACTGTGATTTGGTGAACAAAGCTATCATCCTGTCATTTCCCTTCACATCTTTACAAATGCTTAACATACTCCTGCTCTGCTTCCGTCTTGCTCAGAGACACCATTTCATCCTTCTCATATACTATTTTATCAGCCCTACCTTCAAGCCTCCTGCTTCTGCCAGTCACCAATATCTCCTTCAGTTCCTACAAGTTACTTGGCTCCATTTCTTGCAGTTGTAAATTTCCTGAAGGTAGGAAGGAATATTTTTATGTTGGTGAGTTGGAATAATGAAAGGTGAATACAAGGATGTGGCAGAGTGTGGGAAGGCAGTAGAATAGATCTAAAAGGGCCCCTTGCCTTCCAGGTGAGGCCATGGTACCATGGGAGAAATTCCCCAGACTTTAACTTCACACCTCTCTCACAGGAAACATGCAGAGTCTGATGAGAAAAAGGCCAGCCTTTCCCAACTTCAGCTCTCGCCAAGATAGGAGATGCAGGGGTCTTCCCTGGTGGTGCAGCAGTTGAGAGTCCACCTGCCGATGCAGGAGACATGGGTTCGTGCCCCGGTCCGGGAAGATCCCACATGCCGCGGAGCGGCTGGGCCTGTGAGCCATGGCTGCTGAGCCTGCGCGTCCGGAGCCTGTGCTCCTCAACGGGAGAGGCCACAACAGTGAGAGGCCCGAAAAGATAGGAGACACAGAACCTGTTCTCTATTTTGCTTTGAGTTGAAGGAGCATCTTGTAAATTAAGCCCAGATTTCCAGTTTTGCTTGGGATCTAAGTAACTGTGGAAGAGGCTGTATTCTTATACCAAACCTGATGACACTCAGCAAACATGAGTGTTCATAGACAGGGATGAGACTTGGTGATTCCTGAAGTGAGACTTGGTGATTCCTGAAGTGAGATGAAAGGTTTTAGGAAGCAACATATTTGAGTTGGAGCTTGTCTGGACAAGACAAATTAGTGTGCAGAGTGCTGGATAAAGAAATGAGGGACCTAGGTTCCAATATCTAATGCATCCCTTTCTCTGATTTTATAAGTCATTTAACTACCTGGGATTAAGTGGCAATATGAAAATCCTTCATTTCTATTGTCAAATTTTAAAGGACATTGAATAAATTATTATGTTAAGTATGTATATCTTTGTTTAATTTTATCTTTAGCTCTGAAACTGGGAACTCAAGGATCCCTGTAGACACAATCACAGAATTATTTAATTAAGTAAGTATCAGAACATTAGGGAATACTGTATGATTGTATCAGTGGTTAAAATCATATTCTTCTAAATCAAACAGCCCTGTGTTTGAATCCCGTCTTTGCCATTTAATTGCTGTGTGATGTTGGATTAAATATGTAACCTCTGGGGCTTCCCTGGTGGCGCAGTCATTGAGAATCTGCCTGCCAATGCAGGCGACATGGGTTCGAGCCCTGGTCTGGGAAGATCCCACATGCCGCGGAGCAACTAGGCCGGTGAACCACAACTACCGAGCCTGCGCGTCTGGAGCTTGTGCTCTGCAACAAGAGAGGCCGTGACAATGAGAGGCCCGCGCACCGCGATGAAGGTTGGCTCCCGCTCACCGCAACTAGAGAAAGCCCTTGCACAGAAACAAAGACCCAACACAGCCAAAAATAAATAAATAAAGAAGCTTTCATTTAAATATATATATATATGTAACCTCTTTGAGCCTTAAGTTTCTCATATATAATATGTGAATAATTATACTCAGTATGTAGGATTATTATGAGAAGTAAAGAACGCAGTGAATAAAAAGTGATTATCACAGGATTTGGTATGTAGCAAAGACGATGTATGATATATCAATATTACTTGGATAGTTGTATAATTTTATTTGATATCTGCTGTCATATTTTTTAAAATGAAGCTTTTAATAGAAAAGAAAAGGGTAGAGGAAATCACCTATACAGGAAGAAGAGAAAAATTACAGCTGTTCTGAACCAAGAGCTCAGCTAACCTCCAGACTTCACCTTTCCCCAGAAGTTTGTGCCCCGGCTTCCCTAGACGCTCTCCCAAACTTGAGTTCAACAAAGATTGATTTTCATTTAGTTCAGCTAAGACAAATTAAGAAAAAGACAGGGATTTGATGGATGGGAAGCTATGTGGATTAATAAATCTGAGATGTAGAATCCATGCAAGAGGCTTCCCTTAAAAGAACAGAGCTAAGAGGTCGGCACTGTCTCATGAAATTGGCTAGGTGTTTCTCAAATTCATTGCCTTTGGATGTCCTAGAGAGTGATTTCTGTTTTTTTATCTTCAGAGATGCTGCTTCCTAACTCTTCTTTGCCTTTTTTCCCTTTACTGGCAAGAGAAAGGGTTTTAGAGCTGCCAGTAAAAGAATAATTTGAACTCATAAAACCAACATTTTGTAAATAAAGCTGAATCTCATGGAACTGAAAGAAAAAAATCTAACAGGAGCCAAGAAAATTTCTCAAAAAGACAACATGCCTAGTAGCAGTCTGAAAAAGACTTAGAGAAAGGATAAGAAAGGACAGAGAGCAGAAGATGTGGAATTGGTGGGGATATATATTAGCTTCATTATTACTGTACCATTATTTGAGTCACAGAAATACTATAGAAAAGGGATAACTCTTGGTGTATGTTCCAGGACATACCATTCTGAGAAGCTTCTCCCCACAGTAATTCCTGGCAGCTCTGTCAACCTTCCCCCTCCTCCATTCTCTCCCTGAAGTCTGAGCTTCTCATCAGTGTTTTTTGCAATGTTCTGCAAACAAAAGTACTGCTGAGTGCCCATAAAAATGTCGCTCCAAAGCCACCCGCCCCGCAGCGGAGAGGTCACGGCGTGAGGCCACGTCCGCAATCGCCTCAAGGTCGGGGCACCAGGATGCACCACGGCCTACAGCCAGCAGGAAGGGAAGGATCGAAGCATATTCGTAACCAAAGAAGACCATGAAACTCCAAGGAACGCGGAGCTGGCGGCCGACGACCCCAATGATCCGTACGAGGAGCACGGATGGATCCTGCCCCACGGAGACAACATCAGCTGGAACTGCCCGTGCCTTGGGGGGATGGCCAGCGGCCCGCGTGGGAAACAGTTCAAAGTGGCCTTTTCCTGCTTCCACTGCAGCACAGAGGATGTCAAGGAGTCGGACTGTGTAGACCAGCTCCGCGCCATGCAGGAGCACATGCAGAAGTACCCGGACCTCTATCCCCAGGAGGAAGAGGAGAAGCCAGCGGATCGATTAGAGGAAACGGCTGCCTCTGAGGCCACCGTAACCAAAGAAGAGGAAGGGTCCAGCTAATGAGGGTCCGGGGCGCTGGGCTCCGGCCTCCTTCAGAGCGTGTGAACCTCTCCAAGAAAGTGTCCCTGCCTCTGTTGTGCTGTGCACTGTAATGGATAAAATAACTTATTATGCTGATCAGTGGTCTTGGCCCTTTGACATATACACTGAAAAATGGGTTGTATGAATGTGTGTCTCACATGAACCTATCGGCAAATGTAGCTGCCGCTTTTGAATTCTCTTTTCAGATTGTCCTGAATTTTGCCACTTTGAAATAACGTGCTGAATAATCTCAGTAACCAATAATCATTATCTGGGAGTGTCTCTTGTGAGTGAGCGGTCTTATTCTGATTCATTGTATCCCTTTTAGTAGATTTGATACCCAGTTGGAAAGTGAAATAGAAACAAAACATCTTCCTTTAAAAATACTGGAGTCGGACCATTCCTTGTAGAAGAGGCAGGAAGATCAGACCTTGAGGATCTGACGAAGCGCTATGCTTCATTTCTGATAGATTTTGGTTTCCAGTTTGCATTGAGCTCCAGGTTTTCTACGTTTGCAAAACAGAGCTTTGGACCCTCTGAGTGACTCCTTTGTAAGTGAAGAGAAAGGCTGTTTTTTTCTGTTCTTGTTATTCCGAAAGCCCAGGTTTGGGGTCTGTGTTCACACTGGCTCTGTCTCAGCCTGTTCAGATGCAATGTTCTTGAGAGGTAGGGACCTAATCATTACCAAAGTAGCACCCAAGAGAGGAAACGGTGTCAATTAAAAGGAAAACATGATTTTTATCTGAAAAAAAAAGTCAGTCCAATGAGAAAACACATCACTTGGTCTTCTCTAGGGCCCGCTGGCTGCCTAAACAAATGTCTATAGAGGAAGGACCACTGCTTAAATTTGTGATCTAAGAACACACTTTATTCATGAGAGTAGGATCCGTATCTGCATTTTTCTCCACTATATTTCCAGCTTAGTGTTGGCACATAGTAAGTGCTCAATAAATTTGTAAGACTGATTCATGGATGGATGGATGATGGATGACTAAAAACATGAGGCTACTTCTGGCTCTGAAAGGTGTGGCCATGATTTGCTTTTCCTCCTGAGACAGGTGGAATAGGAGATCTTGTATTTCTCTGTAGCTTCTGTTGCCTGGGTTATACCATACTGCCCATCTGGCATGAGGAAATTCCTGTACAAGCTAAAAAAACCCGGTAATCATATCACTGTCTCTCTCATATCTTTGTTGTCAGTTCTGGGGGTGTCTTCAAATATTGTCTTCACAAAAGAATACTTTTCTTGGACTTCCCTGGTGGCACATTGTTTAAGAATCCACCTGCCAATGCAAGGGACATGGGTTCGAGCCCTGGTCCCGGCAGATCCCACATGCCGCGGAGCAACTAAGACTATGAGCCACAACTTCTGAGCCCGTGTGCCACAACTGCTGAAGCCCGAGCGCCTAGAGCCTGTGCTCCACAGCAAGAGAAGCCACCCAATGAGAAGCCCATGCACCGAAATGAAGAGCAGCGTCCTCTCGCCACAACTAGAGAAAGCCTGCACACAACAATGAAGAGCCAACACAGCCAAAAAATAATTAATTAATTAATTAATTTTTAAAAAGAATACTTTTCTTGAGTAGTAAGGGGGAAATATCGATATAAATGTTTTTCATAATTACCTAAAATCCAAATGTAAGTTAAAGCTTCATGTGGTCTAGTCTTTACAAGATACACAAATTTAAAAAATACAAAAACGATTTCAAAATTTTTTGACTATTCTCAAACAACCTTTTACTATCTAAAACAATACAATCCATAACTAAAGCCATTCTGACTTGTCTTTTCCCATGGCTTACTCTCAATGTTTCACATCCTACCGCTGCCTGAAAGCTTTTCTGTCCGCAGCTCAAATCTCTACCTAAAACTCCCCTGTCCAACAAACCAAGTCTACAAAGCTTTTCCCATTTCTCTCCCTCCACTTTTTATCTACAACCATTTTTTCTCTCTCTCTTCTCTCTAATGAGTTGATCTTGGCCTTTTTTGACACAAAGGACCCATTGAGGGATTCCCTGCTGACGCAGGGGTTAGGAATTCACCTGCCAACGCAGGGAACACGGGACAATGAGCCCTGGTCCGGAAGATCCAACATGTCACAGAGCAACTAAGCCCACATGCCACAACTACTGAGCCTGAGATCTACAGCCCACATGCCACCACTACTGACCCTGCATGCCACAACTACTGAAGCCCACGTGCCTAGAGCCCATGCTCCGCAACAAGAGAAGACACCACAATGAGAAGCCCACGCACCACAAGGAAGAGTAGTCCCTCCTCAACACAACTAAAGAAAGCCTGTGTGCAGCAACAAAGACCCATTGCAGCCAAAGAAAAAAGGACCCATCGGGTTAGTTCAACTCCTCTTCATAAGAATACATGGCTGGAGAGAGCCTGAGGGAAGTCCAGATCATATACAGTTTGACAAAACATGCCGTGTGGTTGACAGGGTCTTGGTGCTTCGGCCAGGTGTCAGGCCTGAGCCTCGTAGGTGGGAGAGCTGAGTTGAGGACACTGGTCCACCAGAGACCTCCCAGCCCCTTGTAATATAAAACAGCAAAAGCTCTCCCAGAGATCTCCATCTCAATGCTAAGACCCAGCTCCACTCAATGACCAGCAAGTTCCAGTGCTGGACACCCCATGCCAAGCAACTAGCAAGACAGGAACACAACCCCAGCCATTAGCAGACAGGCTGCCTAAAATCATAATAGTTCACAAACACCCCAAAACACAGCACCGAATGCAGTCCTGCCCACCAGAAGACAAGATCCAGACTCATTCACTAGAAGGCAAGACCCAGTCTCCTCCACCAGGAAGCTTACACAACCCACTGAACCAAACTTACACCCTGGGGGCAGACACCAAAAACAACAGGAAGTACGAATGTGCAACCTGTGAAAAGGAGACCACAAATGCAGTAACTTAAGCAAAATGAGAAGACAGAGGAATACGCAGCAGATGAAGAAGGAAAGTAAAAACCCACCAGACCAAACAAATGAAGAGGAAATAAGCAGTCTACCTGAAAAAGAATTCAGAGTAATGATAGTAAAGATGATCCAAAATCTTGAAAATAGAATGGAGAAAATACAAGAAATATTTAACAAGGACCTAGAGAAACTAAAGAGCAAACAAACAATGATGAAAAACACAATAAATGAAATTAAAAATTTTCTAGAAGGAATCAATAGCAGAATAACTGAGGCAGAGGAATGAGTAAGTGAGCTGGAAGATAAAATAGTGGATATAACTACCACAGAGCAGAATAAAGAAAAAAGAATTGAGGACAGGGCTTCCCTGGTGGCGCAGTTGTTGAGAGTCTGCCTGCCAATGCAGGGGACACGGATTCAGCCCCAGTCTGGGAAGATCCCACATGCTACGGAGCGGCTGGGCCCGTGAATCATGGCTGCTGAGCCTGCGCATCCGGAGCCTGTGATCCCTAACGGGAGAGGCCACAACAGTGAGAGGCCTGTGTACCACAAAAAAGAAAAAAAAAAAAGAAGAAGAATTGAGGACAGTCTCAGAGACCCAGAGGGACAACATTAAATGCACTAACATTTGAATTATAGGGGTCCCAGAAGAAGAATAGAAAAAGAAAGGGACTGAGAAAATATTTGAGGAGATTATACTTGAAAACTTCCCTAATATGGGAAAGGAAATAGTCAATCAACTCCAGGAAACACAGAGAGTCCAATACAGGATAAATCCAAGGAGAAACATGCCAAGACACATATTAATCAAACTATCAAAAATTAAATACAAAGAAAAAATATTAAAAGCATCAAGGGAAAAGCAACAAATAATATACACGGGAATCCCCATAAGCTTAACAGCTGATTTCTCAGCTGAATCTCTACAAGCCAGAAGGGTGTGGCAGGACATATTTAAAGTGATGAAAGGGAAAAACCTACAGCCAAGGATACTCTACCCAGCAAAGATCTCATTCAGATTCAACAGAGAAATTAAAACCTTTACAGACAAGCAAAAACTAAGAGAATTCAGCACCACCAAACCAGCTTTACAACAAATGTTTAGGAACTTCTCTAGGCAGGAAACACAAGAGAAGAAAAAGACCTAAAATAGCAAACTCAAAACAATTAAGAAAATAGTAATAGGAACATACATATCAATAATTGCATTAAATGTAAATAGATTAAACACTCCAACCAAAAGGCAGAATGGCTGAATGGATACAAAAACAAGACCCGTATATAGACTGTCTACAAGAGACCCACTTCAGACCTAGGGACACATACAGACTGAAAGTGAGAGGACGGAAAAAGATATTCCATGTAAATAGAAATCAAAAGAAAGCTGGAGTAGCAATTCTCATATCAGACAAAACAGACTTTAAAATGAAGACTCTTACAAGAGACAAAGAAGGACACTACATAATGATCCAGGGATCAATCAAAGAAGAAGATATACAATTGTAAATATTTATGCACCTAACATAAGGCACCTTAATACATAAGGCAAGTGCTAAGAGCCATAAAAGGGGAAATAGACAGTAACACAAACATAGTAGGGGACTTTAACACCCCACTTTCACCAATGGACAGATCATCCAAAATGAAAATAAATAAGGAAACACAAGCTTTAAATGATACATTAAACAAGAGAGACTCTTACTGATAGTTATAGGACATTCCATCCAAAAAGAGCAGATTACAGTTTCTTCTCAAGTGCTCGTGGAATATTCTCCAGGATATAATCCCTATATCTTAGGTCACAAATCAAGCCTTGGAAATTTTAAGAAAACTGAAATCATATCAAGTATCTTTTCCAACCACAATGCTATGAGACTAGATATCAATGACAAGAAAAAAACCTGTAAAAAATACAAACATATGGAAGATAAACAATACACTACTAAATAACCAACAGATCACTGAAGAAATCAAAGAAGAAATCAAAAAATACTTAGAAACAAATCACAATGAAAACACGATGACGCAAAACCTATGGGATGCAGCAAAAGC